GGAATGCATTTAAGCGCATAATGCAAAACTTGCAGCTTTCCATTGTAGCATTGGCCCCATATGGTCACTATGGTGCTTATGCTACTCGTGAAAAACGTTCAGACATGGACATTTCACCACTTAATAAACTTACTACAAAAAACAAAATGGGGATATAAAGATATTTGCTATACCAAAGAAGAATTTAGAGTTTATTTTGATCGATTTTGTGAAGAACATCTTAAAGAAAAATTGGTAAAAGATGACATTCCATATCTTTTTAACTATTTGTCCAAAATAACAGTTTACCATCCAGGTCTAATTGTTTACACTATGGATCACATTGGTGAAAGATTTACCAAAAAAGACAGTAATTCTTTATCTTTTGATATACTTTTTTCTTATCTAAAATCTCATGATTTTAATGATCTCCTCAAGGTAATGTATTATTATATTTTTTTATTGTTCTAATAACTAGTTGTATTTACTAAACAATTTATATACGGTATACATTTCCAGACTATCCATGCATTTTATCCAGCTTCTGATCTTTCATATGAAGAAAGAAGAATTGTTGATGCTGTACTCTTCAAAAAAGGGGGTCTTGATTATGAAGCAGAGAAAATTCCAAATGATGGTCGACTTCTTAAGACCAATGCACTTGTTGATACAAGTTCAAACAAATCACATATTGCACTGCTTGATTTTCCAGCACCATTGCACTGAGTAAAATACCATCAAAACCGTTTTGGTGCAATAAGCCAATCTAAACCACCTCCTAGTATATTCAATGAATTTATCAAATTAGTTTTCACAAAAATGAATCCAAAAATATTGCAAAAAAGTAAAGGCAGAGGCACAGATGGCCATCTTCTTGAATGTGTCTGGCAAATGGAATTTTACCATGCCTCGATGCAGATTTTACCTGAAGATACTTATGCTTCTGTAGATGCTTTGAATCAAAGGGTTACATAGACTTTTATGTAAATGACAAGAAAAATGGGCAATTGAACTATTAAGAGATGGAGATAGACAGTTAGAACATCAACAAGGGTTTGAAGAAGGTGGTATATATGTCCCTATTCTTAAACATGCAGATAAGTGGGCACTTATTGATATTCATAATAGTGGAATGGATTATTCAGAGCCAGAACAACATAAAAAGCATGATATATATGTTCTCTGCACTGAAAACTTTGAATCTGTTCAATTGATATATCCTGACGGATCTGAAGAATCTGTTCAATTGTTAGGTGAAGAAGAAGATTTGCTTGGATATGATATCTCGGACTTTTTAAATGATCCAATGGAAACTGATTAAACTATCTGATCATGTTATATTTTTACTGAAAATTGTACTGACTAAAGTAACAAAATTTATTACATTGTAAATCTTATTCTTTTTGTGCAAACTTTATTATGGGAGGGGTATGTAGATCCTAAGCCATAGGCAATATAATATTAAATGGGAATTCCAGCATCCAATCCCTGATTTTAGCTGACAAAAAATCAAGTAAAAAGACACATTACTTTTTTATATTCATCTATCTTTCCCCTATAAAAAATTTTTATTAGTTAGTATTGTTGCCGGAATTAGATTTTGACGCAGATTTTTTGGTCGAATCTCTTAATTCCGGGACAATTTAAATTTTATTTCTATCTTTATTTTTATTTATATTATTATTTAATCTATTCTTATTTTCATTATTGTTATTTTTATTATTTTTATTTATTAATTCTATTTATTTATTAATAACGTGTATAATTATTATCATCTGAATTCGTGTTACGTCCCGTCTATTTAATTTTTATTATTATTAATTAATCCATAGCATATTCATATTTATTTGACTCTATTTAGTAGAGATTAATGACAATTGCCCAGACCGGGCGGAATCTCCCAAGTACAAACCGGGCGGAATCGCCCAATTCGGGCTAATATGTATATAAAGAACTTGATTTCGACCTAATGTAAAAACAACTTTGTTATAAGTTAATTAGTTTCGACTATGAAAAACTTGATAACAAGTTAATTAGTTTCGACTAAATAAAACTAAATAAATAAAATAGTAATATTTTATTTAAATAACTTTTATCTTCTTTAACCAAAAATTATTCACTAATACCAAAATCAATTCGTTGATCCTCTATTCATTCTTGCAAAAACAAAAATAATTATTATCACGCTCTCCCAAATTTAATCAGTAACAGTATGTTATAAACAAATAAAATGCTTTGTAAGAAAAAAAAGTGCCCATTTTTATTTGCAAGTTTATCAGTTAATAATAAAAATGACCGTTTTTTATTTGTGGCTTTATCAGTTACTTAATAATATTCCAGAACTATAAAATCTTATTCTCACATTCCGTTTTAATCCCAGATTTACAAATGTCCCTATATTAATATAAATGACATAATGGAAAAAAAAATTCCATATTGTTTACTCAACTGGTTGCTGCTTTTATGAAATAAACTGAACATTTACAGAGTGATAAACATGATCATGGAGATATAATGGAATATTCTGGAGTGTCATTTTTTACAGGGTCAAGCAATAAAATTTTTTTCAGCATTGGTTCCTATATTATGGCATTCATGAACATTTGATGCAAATAGATTGAAAAAAATAAAAGCAGTTCAGAGCATGACTATGAAACCAAACAAGTGATAAATTCTTTATGACCATTAAAATTTCTATAAATAGTTTTTTGTGAATTTCACTATAACTTATTAACCAATACTCCCATAAAGTAATTACCATATGAAAGCTTAAAGTATTATACACCTTTTCATTTACTATCAAATCTTTTAAAGTGATATTGAGAAATAATCTGAGGTTTTAAGTGAAAAAGTAATACCGCTTTTGAATAGCTGTGAATTCATGTAGAGAAGACCTTTCGATATGAAAGAGTATTCATTAGAAAGCTTTAATGGAGTACTTTCATTTTAGTCTAACAACAAAGTTCGAGCTTATTATAAAAATAATGAGATATTTTAAAAAAACTTCATGTGACACGAATTTCGAATTTATTTTCACATATAGAAAAGCAGCCTCAGGGAAGATTGCTTTTACAACAGATGAATCATGAAAAATTTCAGGTTGTGTTTCAAGAACCTGAATAATAATATTGTTATTATAAAAAATAAATATTTAGATGAAATCTGTTTCCATGGCAATGAACAGAACATGACACATATTTGTATATAGGTTTCATAAGCAATATCAAACATCAACTTACATTTTTTAGACAAATTTCTAGCCTAATGATGGAATCACAGCAATCCCATGTTGTGGTCCGTCTGGTCTTCACTGGTGTTTTTAATCCTCCTCCTTTTACACCTGCATGATAAGATTTTTTGAAAAAATTTATAATTTTTTTACACTTTGACAAAATGGTGTTGGAAAACTTTAACTTTACTAAATCAGTTGTAATTAAATTTATATGGTGGGCTAAACAGCTTATTGGTAAAATATTAGGATATTGTTGAGAGATTAATCTTCTTGCCATTTGCATAGCTGCTTCACCATCTGAAACCACTACCACAAATTTTTCTGGACCAATTGAAGTTAAAACTTTTTCGATTTCATCAGCAATGTAATTCCCAGTATGAAATTCACCTGATTCATCTACCAAAGAATGAATATATTGCTTTCTATTTGGAGTAATTATAACAAATGCATAAATTGATTTTCCTAAAGGATCACACCATCCGTCAATGGCTATAGTAGTAAATATAAATTAAATAAAGACATAAAGATGAATTAAATTAATACAATATTTAATAATTTATCAGATTTGATACCTAATGTTAAATTATCCTCATTTTTAAGCTCCTCGTTAATTTTATTTAAGACTGATGAAATTTCTTTATTCAAAATGGTAGTTGAGAGTGTGGTTTTTTTTGGAGGATTATACCCAAAGCACAAACTTTTTGTAAAATCCACAAAGAAAGGATGGTTTACAGTTGAAAAAGAAATACCGCAACATATAAAAAATCAAACTAAAAAAACAATTTAATAGACAAGTATGTTAATTGACAAACATATATTATATAATATAATTGTATAATGTAACTGTTTTTACCTAATGCTTGATTTATTCTCTCTCTCTTACTTGCATCAACTTCTGCAGAAGAATCAAAATAATTGGTAATGGATGGATTAGATGAATTTATCTTCTGTGTTTTATTAGAACTCAAAGGTTGTTCTATAAGTATTTGCATGTATTCAAGTTTTATATTAGTTGGCACTGCAGAACAATGTAAAGCTAGATGCCCTTTCAAAAATTCAGGTTTCCCTCTAGACCAAGCTTCTGCGCAATAATGACATTTGGCAGAGAAGTGGCCATCTCCTATTGTTTCTTTAAAAAAATGCTCCCAAACAATTGATTCTTTACAACCTCTTTTATTTGTTTGACTATTGCTTTGATGATTACTTGACATGCCCGACCTGACAGAACTCACAGAACTCATTTTTTCCTTTTAATAATTGAAAAATGTTTTGTTAAGAAAAAACTTATTACTTCATATAATATAACCATTTCTATAAATATTTATTATTGTTCACTGTTGTTTAATAAAGACATTTAATATTTATTAAATGTTCATGGGAAAATTTTTCTATGTTGGTATTAGGTGTTACAGTACTACTATTATGGTATTAGGATTTATGGCATTTACGGCATTTACGGCATTACAGTTTTACGGTTTTACGGCATTACGGCATTACGGTTTTACGGTTTTACGGTTTACGACTTTTATGACTTTGAGGTCTCATGCCAAAAATCATTTATGGCTTATACCATAATGCCGAATTTGCCGTAATTATGGAATTCCGACAACAAGTATACTACTGATGTGTTGTGTTTTTAATGGTTAGTGTTTCTAACTGACCGCACCTAGCTAGGGTTTCCACTTGTTTAGGCGTTGGCCTAATCTAAAATAAAAATAAAGAAAATAAGA